TGACTTGACACATAGTTTAAGAAAGTAAAAAAGACTTTTGAATCTTATGGTTTTAAACTAAAGATACGTAGAATGTACCAAAATATCCTTTAATCTTGTGGTCTTTAACATGCCATGTGGAAAGTTGAAATTAAAGAGTTTGACGAAATAGGAAAGAGACATTCATTTTGAAATGGACTAAAAAGGAAAGTAAGACAAATGAATTGAAACGGAGGGAGCATCACTTTCACGTAGTTTTTCTTTTGTCCAACTTTTTATCGTCAAAAATACATACTACTTATGGTAGATATTCAATTTCTAGATGCGTCGATGAAGGTCTCCTTGTCACCATTTTGTGTTGATGATAACTGTGAAAAGAACAAAGAAGTCTACAATCATAGCATTTGATTAGAACACATTATAAGTTAAGGTTAAACAAGTGTACCGTTAAACTCCATTGATTTAGCATCCACAACTGGCGGTTAGACCTGACACCAACTTCCATAATCCACTAGCTACTTCGATGGATGGGCGTTAACTATTACCACATATTCAACAAATAAATATGCTAGGCTTCTTTCTGATAGCTAGGTAAACGGGGGTTAACTAGGGTTCTTTCTGGGCCACATCACTGTCTTTTGAGGCTATAACCAATTAACGTATGTCCAAATTCTAACAGTAACATTTAGCATATTTCCTTAAAAGAAATGCTGCGGTAATAGGTGTCAGTGTCATTTGTTTTAAGGCAGAGATGCTAATTAAACCTTACTATTCATGTGGTGAAACTAATATGACAATTCATCGGTGTATAAACTCGAGGATCAGATAAAAAAACTGTGAATTTTTTTGTTCATTAGTACTTATGCTAAATACTTACTTTGGATGCTTTCAGTTTTACTGATAATGCAGGCCTTTGTGGTATTCCTGGATTACCAACATGTGGACCACATCTTACTGTTGGTGCCAAAATAGGCATTGGCTTAGGGGCGTGTGTCGCTGTTGTAGTTATCGCTACATGCATAACATGTTGGTGGAAAAGGCGGCAAAATATCCTCCGCGCTAAAAGAATGGCTGGTAAGAGTTTTTCAACATAACATGCTCTATATCCATAGTCAAATATATTTCCCATCTCTTTCATGTCTATTGTTGTCAACATGGTGTTTTTGAGAAATGAATTTCGAGTGAAGATGTATCTCTACACGATGAAAGTAAACGAGTTTCATGCTTTCTCGTTGATGAATCACTCTTCATTTTTTATACAGTGAGAGACGCTCCTTATGCGAAGAAAAGAACACATTTAAACCACATCCAAATGACAAGACACCATCACAATGGTCATCATCACGAACATACTCGGACAGCTGTTGAGAATGGACCTCCTTTGCTTGTCTGAGTTCGAACAATTTTTGAGTCAACTCACACTAGAAACTTCTTTCACGTCAAGAGGATTCAACAATTTATACATATACCAACAAAAACATTGTTCGTATCCTACTTACACAGTATAATTTTTTGACAAAGGAAGGATAATATGAATCCCATCCGCAGACCTTGTAACTCCATCGCAGGCTTAGTGAGAAGATTTCCAGATACAATGCTGCTGTTTTGTGGCTAGAAAATGTGTATAGTGGTTTATACAGATCAGGAATCAATTATAAATGCCATAGATGTAATTCAGTGCAAGAGATCTATGTTGTTCGGACTCTTCAAAAATGTCGATGGGTGCGTGTCGGATTCTCTAAAAATAGTGTATTTTTGAAGGATCTGACTCGGGTGCGATAACATTTTTGGAGAGTCCGAGCAAGCCAGAGACAGTGTGTTGTATATTTTAATTATATACATGTATTCTTGTCATTAGTTTTGGAGCTTTTGGTTAAAGACACTCATGTAAACTGTGAAATGGTGAATTACAATAGAACCACAGAATGTGATCGCATTATACGGTCTCAATTGAAAAGATTGAGTAAATTTTCGTGTACCTCGGTTATTTCTCGATATGGTAAGTGAGTGGAATCAACTTCACTTGGATGTTGAAATTGAACAAGGAAGAGAATATGAGCTTAAATAACAATAACTAACTCAGTGAAATCCCACTAAGTGGGAATAGAGAGCTTAGAAGGAAATTTTTTTAATCATATTTTCTGTTTTAAATTATCTATCGTATTTCTCTTTTACATGCCTTTTAAGGAATATCAATCAAGAGGAACTTTTGACTATTTAAACCACATTTATGTCCTAAATATTTTATTTATTTAGTTGTTTGTACATTTTCTTCAAAAACAATTACCAAACGATAAAATAAGAAAAAAGTTAGTTTTTTTTCTCGAACTTCTAATTGACAAATAATATTCCTTCCTTTCCATCTTATTTGACAGTATTTCTTTATTAGTTTTTTTTTTAATAAAAAAAGTAAGATAATAAATAAAATATGGTAATTAAATAATAATAAATAAAAATAAGATTAAGTGAGATTGGTAAACCACAAAATACCAGGACCCATAAAATGCGGCAGCCGCGTTTTCATTTCATTTTCCACATGGGCCCTTTCATGGTCGCCAAAACTACTTTTGGTAGTAAAATAAAGTAAGTGAAATATGATCAGGAGGTCACGAGTTCTGACTGTGAAAATAACTTTCAAAAAATAAAATAATTAATTTGTCGAGGTCATTTGGTAGATAATGCGGAAGTGAATTATTTGATATTAAATTTTATATAAATAATATCATATTTAATAATATAGATTATTCATATATAAATTTAATAATATGACGTTTAATTTATAATATAGAAATACATAAAATATTTATACTAGTTATGAAAGAATCTATATATTATTGTAGTTTATATAAAATAGAGGTGGAATTATTAATACGACAACAACAATAACAAAAATTTGTTTAATGTAATCCCACAAAGTAAATTTGCGGAGAATAATATCATGCATAACTAATGTATAATTTTTCTTATAAATATATGCCTTACTATTACTACATAACTATAATTAGTTATCAAATAATTCCTTATAATTTAATCCTCCAATCCACACTTACACTTATTATACCTTTTGGTCTATCCTACCTACTGAACTACTCCTATATATTACCAACCACCACGCTCATCATTATTCATTCGGTTTGACGCATAAACGTTACGTATCGTTGATAAAATACTAAAAATGTGAATCGAAAAAAATATTATTAATTTCTAAAATTATTATTGTATGATTTGAGATTCGGATTCAATAATTAAACATATCAAATGATAAGATATGGAGCTTGAAGACAAATCAAATATAACATAGTAAAAGTGGTACTAACCTCAATGTATGAGCTTGTACGATAAAATTTGTCCGCATTTCCGAAGATTCAGACCTTTGATCTTTATTGGTCAATTTGATTTTGAACTTCAAAGCCGCAAGGCTAGTAAAATTTTAGTTATAGTTCAAGATAAGTTAAAGAGTGTAACCATTTTTGAAGAATCCACAATTCCTTTCAGCGATTACACAGTTCTACATATAACAGAAATAACGTGCAGATGTAGATCACTATGGGAACAAAATTCACGTGAGACATTTCCTAGAATTTCGCTTTAAATGTATTTGTATTCCTTATTAGTATTCCATTACAATTTTCATTGTTTGCTTGTTGTTATTGAAGTTCTCTAACCTAAATCTCTCAAGCTGTGCTTTTTCGATGGACGCTATCGGACTATCATATTGGCAAATATGCTAATAATATTTGTTACTTATATCTTATCAATTACTTTATTACCTATTATTTTCACTTGTTATCTTAACTACGTTTAACAAGCAAAATAACATTAATAATGTTATTATTTGATCATCTCAATTTGCATGTTTTTGAACGACATCAAAATATTGATTTAGGGATAAACAATTATCATATAAAATGACACACATATATGAATAATATATTTTTTTATGCACTCGTTTAATTTGTTCAATGTTTTATTTTACATAGATATACTAGACAAGAGTTTGGCTTAAAATATATGCTTATTTAATTTTAGCTTGGATTAACAATATTGTCTTTTTAAGGTAAAAATCGATAATGTGTCACAACTTTGGACAACGAATTATGCATTATATATATATATATATATATTCATCATTATCCACTTGTCCAAACATGTAACTATCTATTAATATTCATAAAATCTACTCCCTACCTCTGTTTAAAAAAGAATGACGTCATTTTTTTTAGTCTGTTTAAAAAAGAATGACTCATTTTTTTTTACAACACTTTAACTTCAACTTTCCACATGACATGTTTAAGACCACAAGATTAAAGAGCATTTTGGTACATTTGATATAACTTTAATTTTAAACTACAAGATTTAAAAGTCTTTTTTATTTTCTTAAACTCCATTCCAAATCAAACTAGGATATTCTTTTTGAAACGGAGGAAGTATCAATTATTATTTTATTGATTAGACTTTTACTTAACTTGGATATAAATAAACCAAGTAGATTAAATTAGTTAAGCAATAGTCCACGTGGCAACAAGGTCCATAATTGTCAAATAACTTCTTTTTTCTCTTTGGCGGTCAAACCTAATCTATTGCCTCAATATTTGTGCAATGTCCATACTATCATTAACCCACACGTGTCAAATTATCCTTTTCTTTCTCCCTTTAATCGTCACCGCTACACCACCACCATCATCACTTCCTCCGGCCTTCGTCAATAACAAAACTAATCATTCCACGTTCACGTAAGATTGAAAAATATTATATTTAAAAAATATGATGTAAACAGTCTATGCTAATATGAGCAAATACAATACTCTACTAAAACCATAGCACTTGAACAACATGAAAAGATTTATTTATTTCCAGCTTCTTTTCTTAAAAGTTCAAATTTTTCGATATTCACATTAGTAACTCGATGAACAGAACGTCATCGTTTTCCCCTATATATATAAAATATATATTAGACTATAGTTTCCCTTATCTTTTTTTTCCTTAATTACTGGTGATTAAAAGGGGAATTAACGCTAATTAAACAAGCTTACAACTAATTAAATAAAGCAAAAGTTCAAAAAGCATGCAGAATCTCCGATCATCAACTCCGGCAACTTTCCGATCCATACAGAAGAATTTTCACATGTCTTCCGGTGCCGGAAGAAGATTAAGGTCGAAATTAGCTTTTGGCTTGAGATCGTTACCCATAAAATCTATCACAGTTGATGAATCGGATTCACTCTTCATCATCCCACTCTGGCCGCCGGCAGCAGCACCTCCATCTCCACTACCGCCGCCGCCGTTACGAATCACTCCAGGTCCTTGTAAATAGTACATCGGCGGAGTGATTCCTCCGGTAGGAGAATTCTGGAACAAAAACTTACCTACACCGTTGCTAAAAATACCAACGGATGATGAGCTTCCTAAGCTTAGATCCAACGGAACCGATTCCACCATTGCCGCCGCCGTCGCCGTCGCAGTCACCGTCACCGTCGCCGCCGCAACCGCAACCGCCGCAGACGATGACTCAACGGTACTAGTCTGACTCGGACTCCGATTCACATCCGCCGGCTGCATCACAATCTGAAAATTAGTTTTCGCTTTCACACCTCGAAACTCTCTCGCAGCTTTATCATACGCTCTCGCTGCTTCCTCAGCGGTATCAAACGTACCTAACCAAACACGGCATTTTTTCCCCGGATCTCTTATCTCCGCCGCATATCTTCCCCACGGCCTTTTCCTTACACCTCTGTAATGCACCTCCTTCACCGCCGCCGCTGTCACTGCCGTCGCCGCCGTCGCACATTTTTGCTTGGGCGCCATTTTCAGTTCGCCGCTTACCGGAAATGGACAATTATATATATATACGTATAGAATTTGAACAAGTCATTAGAGAATTAGGGCACGGTTGAGAGAAAACGTAGGGGGGAAAGTGCCTCTTTATATAGGAAGAAAAGAACAGTCAATGGAGTCTTTGACTGATGAAAATGTAGGGACCATATAATATATGGTATTTTTTAAAATTTTATTTCTTCAAATGGAAAAAATTGTAATACTAGTATATCAAATTTGGATAAATATTAATATTGGTCCTTGTGGTTTTCTAGTCAAATACATTTTAAACAAATTGGGAATAAAGGTATTTAATATAAGAGGATGTATTTGTTAATGGTTAAATTGATAATCCAAATAAGGAGTATTATATATTAATGATTTTAACATTTTTATCCTTTTTCTTAAATTTTAGTATTATTTTAGTCGTAGGCAACACAAATTAGCATTACTCTCTATTACAACACTTTTTCTCTTCTCGACGGAAATTAATATTATGTTCATTTTAGATTTGATTGTGACAAACGCAAACTATTAATGTTATTTCTTCAATTTATTGTATGGGTTTTTAGAAGGAATTCGAACGATTATGTGTTAAACAAAAGTGATCAATGTAGAAAATTGTGTTGGACTTGTATTTTTATTACTATTTATATTTTAATGAATATCATGTATATATGATCATATGAGCCTTTTTTTTACTGGTTAAATCGAAAATCGAATTATAAAGAATCAAAAATTGAAAATGATGAATTTGAGTAGGAATAATTAAAGGGTAAATATGTATGGTAAAAAACTATAAGAACCAAATCGAAATATATACATAAGTAAAGGCTTAAAAGTGCAATTATATATATGTACATATCTGAATGCCTGCATGGGCTATTTGTTTTTATTTTATTTCTAAATGCCACGTGCATATATCCACACACTCAAAAAAAGAAATAAATAATAAATGGAAAATGCTAAATTTTAATTTGGAGTTATTACTTTTTACCTACTTCAAAAATATGGAGGAGATTTTTATTTTATTTTATTTTATTTTTTTGTGATTTTGAGGGAATCACCAAATAAAAGATATTTTTTTTCTATCGTTGAATTAAGTCATGAAAAGAATGATATATATGTTTGAACTCATAATAAATAATAATTGCCCTTTACATTATGTGATAAAAAGTTAAATATCACGTGTACACCATCGTATAAATTTGATTTGATCGTATATAATGATAAAAAATTATGCCGTAAAGTTTTTAGTTTTGCAATAAATAAAATATGATTTGTATAGTATAAATATCTTCCATACAACTTAGTAAATTCAATTTTGATAATTAAATATTGTAAATGGTACATATTTTATATTGCGTATTTTTGAATTGTCAAACGATCTCGGACATAATTTAAAAAAATGTATAAAAGCCTTTATTTTTACGTTCATAAGATATAATTAGAGGTTCTAAATGAAGCGTAATATAATTACTGGTGATTATATATTATTTTTTTCAATTTAGGTTTTATTGTTTTTTTAGGTTAGAAACATGGAGGAGACTTTTTTTTTTAATGATTTTGATGAAAAACACCGAATCACACTGTAAATTAAAATTCTTTTTCCCCCTATCGTAGACTTTGGTGATGAAAGATTATTATAATATATTTATTTAAACATGATAATAAATTACATATCACATGCATGTTACGTTACCGTATAAAATTAATTTGATTACATATGCTTATAAAAGATTACGTCGTAATGTCTTCGAATAGACAGTCGTAATTAATAAATAATACTAATTGTCTTTTACGTTACACGACAATAGATTATATATACATCACGAGTATATTGACGTATAAAAGTAATTTGATTACGTATACTTATAAAAAGATTACGTACGCTTATAAAAAGTTATATCGTAACGTTTTCGATTCTGCAATAAATAAAACATGACTAGTAAGGTATAAATGCATTCAAATTTACCGAATAAATGACAATTAACTCAATTTTGCTAACTAGATGGTAAATGGCAGAGCTTATCTTGGACATTTTGGACTTTCAAACGATCTCGAACATAACTCGTGATAACTATCTTTTACGGTACACGACAATAAAGTACATATCACGCAGACATCGTCGTATAAAACTGATTTGATTACGCAAGCTTATAAAAAGTTATATCGTAATATTTTCGATTCTGCAATAAATAAAACATGACTAGTAAGGTATAAATGCATTCAAATTTACCGAATAAATGACAATTAACTCAATTTTGCTAACTAGATGTCGTAAATGATAGAGCTTATCTTGGACATTTTGGACTTTCAAACGATCTCGAACATAACTCGTAATAACTATCTTTTACGGTACGCGACAATAAAATACATATCACGCAGACATCGCCGTATAAAACTGATTTGATTACGTACGTTTATAAAAAGTTATATCGTAACATTTTCGATTCTGCAATAAATAAAACATGACTAGTAAGGTATAAATGCATTCAAATTTACCGAATAAATGACAATTAACTCAATTTTGCTAACTAGATGTCATAAATGACATAGCTTATCTTGGCATTTTGGACTTTCAAACGATCTCGAACATAATTATTTTTTACGGTACGCGATAATAAAGTACATATCACGCAGACATCGCCGTATAAAACTGATTTGATTACGTACGCTTGTAAAAAGTTACGCCGTAACGGTTTTGATTCTGCAATGACTAAAACGTATAACTTGTAAAATATATCCGCCTTCAAAATAACTGAGTAAATAACAAATAACACAATTATGATAACTAAATATTGCAAACGATACAATTTTTATCTTGAACCGTTTAGACTATGAAACAATGTCGAACATAATTCAGAAGACACACCATTTATATTTTATATGAAATAATTAGAGGTCCTAAACAATGTAGAACATATCACACATATATCGTCGTATAAAACTGATTTGATTGCGTACGCTTATAAAAAGTTATAGCGTAACGTTTTCGATTCTGCAATAAATAAAACACGACTAGTAAGGTATAAATGCATTCAAATTTACCGAATAAATGACAATTAACTCAATTTTGCTAACTAGATATCGTAAATGACAGAGCTTATCTTGGGCATTTTGGATTTTCAAACTATCTCGAACATAATTCATACTAACTATCTTTTACGGTACGCGATAATAAAGTACATATCACACTAACATCGCCGTATAAAACTGATTTAATTATGTATGCTTATAAAAAGTTATGTCGTAACGATTTTGATTCTGCAATGAATAAAATATATAACTTGTAAACTATAACCGCCTTCAAAATAACTGAGTAAATAACAAATAACACTATTATGATAGCTAAATATTGCAAATGATACAATTTTTACTATGAAACAATCTCGAACATAATTCAGAAGACATACCTATTTTATATGAAATATAATTAGAGGTCCTAAATAAAATGCAATATAATTACTTGAAAGTTCACAAAAAATAAAATTTAGTTCTTTTAATCTAAAATAGTGGATGTTTCACAAAATTAAAAAGATATTTCATTTTTTTTTTCAAATTTGCTATTGAAACATTTCTAATCCCTCATGAAATATTACGATTTTAAGCTAGAACATCAACTATGTTGGACAGGGAGGAGTAACAGGTAAAATTAAAAAAGTAAAGAAACTTGTAGTACTAGTAATTAAGTATATTATTAAAAGATATTTATGAGATCAAAAGCTTAATTATCTTGAAAATGGAAAAGAAAAAAGGAACTTGCAATTTTTTAAAAGTTTTCTTGAAATTCTATCTATTTCTACTATTGATAACACTTTATATAAAATACTCATCAGATTCACTTTTACTTTAACCTGTCAAAATAATTTATATTTAATCAAAATTATTTCTAATATTAATTATTTATTTTTCAAATCATCTTATAAAATCTAATGCTAAATATAAAATAAAAATAATAAAAATAATAAAATAGTCATATTAATATATTTTTCAAAGTTCAAATCTGACGAGTAAAGTTATGGTGGTCCGTGGAGTGTTAAGTACTATTCCATTCTTAACCAAAGTTCTCGAATTTCAATCCCCCTAAATATAAAACCATCTTTCTTAAAAAACGTTTTATCCTCCAATATTGGACTTTTCGACCAAATCCAAAAAAAAAAAAAAAAACATGTATGAGAGTAAAAGAATAATATTCAGTACTACTCCATTTTTTTTTCAAAAAAATAAAAATAAAAATTCTACACGTGTCAGCTAGAGAACTAAAAAGAAAAAAATACAGGGTAACCGGAGACAGACGGTAAAAATTGAGTTGTCGGCGGCGGTTGGATAAATCGCCGCATAAAATGGATTTGTTTTATTTATTTTTTATATTAAGTGACGTTGGCGGCGGCTCAGTTTGTATTTTATGGCTTGGGTGGGGCCCAATAATATTTGATCGGCTGAGTCGGCGGAGCCAAGTAAAAAGAAGCCACGTATATGTACACGTGTTTGCTTAAGAAGAATTCATACTCTATAGTAGTAATACTTTTAACTCTCCACTTACTACCAATCAACAAATATGGTGGATGGGGATGCCTAATTAACTTCTTTTGTATTTTTATTACTTAAAACATCATGTATGGTATGGAGGAAAATATTTTTTTATTAATATGTATTTTTTTTTTGTTAAAAAAATGATTTAGTTGGATTTGATATAGAGTTTAAGAAAATAAAGGATGAATTTTTAGTTTTGTAATCCTAAATTAAAGTTATGTTAACTGTATAAAAATGTCCTTTAATTTTGTGATCTTAAATATATCACGTGGAGAATTTGAAGTTAAAGTGTTACGAAAAAAAGAAGGGTCATTTTTTTTAAAATAGAAAAAGTAGGTCATTTTTTTAAATATGGAGGGAGTAATTTATTTATGTAATTTTTTTTATTTTCGATATCTAATACCACATGTTATTTGCTATATTTAAGTGATTGTATTATGTTATTAAAGCACTAGGCGTGAAAGATCACGATCTTTTAAGAATTATTGTCT